CTGACAAAGGGACACAAGCAGGGCTGCTCTCTCTAATGTCAAGTATAGGCTTCATTGGTCCAGTCTCAGAATTTAATCTTTCATAATTGCACATGTTTTTCAGACAGTCAGCTAAGACTGACCCAGGCTTACCAAACATTGCTTTTTTTGGCATTGTTTTCAACTTCTGTTTAGGATACAGTCACCTGTAGAGGACGTTGTAGGCTTGTTATGTTACAACAAGGTCTCACAGTAGTGAGACATGCCTAGAAAAGAGATTATTCAGTTTTGATGTCCAAGCCAGTGAAAGATGAAACTTTCAGTGTTGCTGTGGCTTGTAGGTGCAACCATTGTTCTTGAAAGAATATAACTTGTATGGATGCTACCATATCTGACATGTCAGTCTGTTTCATCAGACTGTTACAACTTTTTTCTGTATATTTCCAGTAGTTCAGGGTACATCCATGGATTTTTACTGCACAGCTGATGATTTATGAGATGTATATACTCATCAAAAGTAATTCTTTGTATCTTGACTCTTCCCACTGAAGTCAAGGGTAGAACTTCTTGTGGGAGGAGAAGACTAATATGCTGAGTGATTTGAAAATCCTATGACCTTATGCATGTGATGTCAATGAGAATAGCAGTGAACAGCAAAAAGCAAGTTTCTCTGGTAATGGTAAGAATTAATTCTTGCGTGTTTTGTGGAATTCTTCACATCTCTTTTGATGTCTTGCAACATAAAAGAATATTCTAATAGCTACTTCTACAATATAAATGTACATGTAAAGAAAAATTCCACTTTTAGGACCAGTCTTTTCTCCCTCTGCAAGCAAGAAAAACGAGAGGTCAATTAAGTTGTATGCTAATACCTTTTTTATTTGACTAAATGGAAAAATAAAATGAAGGCAGAATTTCAGAAAACACAATCTCTCTTCTGTGAAATTGTTTTTAATTGCTTTGTGGCTTGGCTTTCTCTGCAGTTGTGCTATTGCATTTGGGCTGCTTTATTGGAAAGTTCTGTGGCATCTATAGTAGAAACTGGCACAACAGTCTTTAGTGTTGGAATTACACTTACCCCCATCTACCCAAGTGAGCAATACTGACAGTGTCAGTACTGAAATAATTGAGAATCCTCAGAAGGCTGTTTAACCCTCTGCTTTACATGTTATACTATTTAAACCTTACATAGTCCTACCTAGACTTGGTATGTTGCCAGAGTGACAGATGTTGCAGAAACTGCTGTTTATTTTACTTAGTAATGATGATAGATTTTAAAGCATCATTCATACAAGATACTGCTTGCTTTAGAAATGATATTATTATTGCCATTATGTGTTATTAACGTTACTGGCATTATGAGTTTCTGTATCTACAGCCTCCAAATAATTATCAGTAACCAGTCCCACAAGTAATAAATCCAGTCCTTCGTATTTAATTTATATTTGCACACCATTACAAGATGAACCTGACTAGTATCAGTACACCTGCATCACACCTGCTTTTTCCCAAAGTTCCCAGCTGGAATGCGTGTGTAGGTGACGAGGAATATCAGTGGTACCCTGTAAGAAATTTCATCATATACCCCATGCCTTTCTGCATTTATATCTTGATTACTGAATAAACTGGAGTTTGTAAGGAAAGGAATACAAAAAAAAGAAAAGACGTGAATTGTGATGGTTACACTTTAGACTTACTTACTTGGAAAATGAAGTTGTTTCTGTTGTATTCTGAAGTCAAAGGATGCAATTCTAAGTCTCTTGACACATAACATACCAGCAAACTACCAGTAAATAGTCAAGACCCTATTAAGAAGTTACTTAATTATAAGGGAACTACGAACGAGGAACACAAGGCATGTCAAAAGAGAGGGTGAGTGCAGTCGTCTTCTGTCAGATTCTGGTCTCTGCCAGTAGTGTGGTGTGCTCCTCAAAATTGGAACAGACCGTATAAAATAAATCTTAAAGCTTTGAATCATTTAAAGCAAAAGCAAAATAACCTGTAAGACTCAGCGAAACCAGCAGTTAATAACTATGTGTCGGAAGAGGGAAAAGATCCAGTAAGCAGCTTAGGCAACACTTCCAACTGTAATCGAAGTAGAAAAATAAAAAAACTAATTTTGTTTCCACCACTTAGATCAGTGACTGTTGTGAGATACAGAAAAAAATACATGCATTCTCCATAGGTAGTTGGAGAAATGGTATTTTATTTTCCATGAGGCTCTTGCAATGTGCTATAAGTTTTGCCAGCATGTATAGATGGATGTGGTGACCTAGGGAGCTAGTCAAAGATTTTCAGTAAAATCAGTTTGTCACAGGATTCTGCAGTAGTTTTAGATAGATACTATAAGAGTTTAAATACATATGGATGTGTAATACGGATGCAGGCAAATACGTATATCTGTATAGTTTCCTATAATGTCTAAGTTCACAAGTTATGCTACAGATTTGCTTTTCCTCTGCTACGGCTAGTCATGGTTTTCTCCCTCATGATGGTTTCTTCAAGCAATTATATAGTGGTTGTCAGTTTCAGGCAACCGTAAAATAACTAAGATCGGTCACAATAGTAATATGAATAATAATAACCATATATGTTATTTTTTTTCTGATTTTAACCTGTATTATGCAATTTGACAAATAAACCATACAGTGCAGTATTGCTATTTCCCTTCTTAGGTTGCGGTTTCTTCTTCCTAACAGCTGGGTTTTCATTCCTGTAAGAACAGGGCTAAGAATGCTGCAGGATGGATTCCGACTGCAGATTTATTTGCAATGTCAGTAATATCTCCCTAGGAAAGGAAACTGCAGTGTCACTGCTGCATCAGTACTTGCAAGAATAAAGTGTCTGAAGGTATTTAGTCTTGCTTGTAGAGCAGTCCTTCCTACCCCAGGCCAAGGCATAAGAAAGCTCCAGTCCTGCTGGAGCATGGCATGGCAGGTTTTAATTTCCCATGTCAGCTCATGGCTGTCCATATACACAAAGTTCTGAGTAGGTCCCTGTGTGTCCAGACACGGCTGTCAGTACCGATTATGGCAGTCGTCTTTGTCTTTCCTGTTCCATGTCATCTGAGGATTAGCAAGCTATTAGCTCTTTATTTATGGGAATTGTTTTTGCTCATGTTAAGCCATATATTGTTATGTTAGTAAGCACCATATAAATGATTTGATAATAAACACACTGCTGAGGCTGTTTGGATAGATATTGCCAAAACGGTCCCAGCCAAGCACTATTAGTCATTAGTTTTTCCTTCTCTTCCTTTTTGTAGGCTGATTTCCTGTAAAACTTCTCCATTTCCATTACAGATTTTTGTTGTTTAGCATATTTTGCTCAGATGTTCAACATAAATTAACATGTTTACGTAACAATTGGTGGTTTCTGCTAATCAACAAGCTACCGTATATAAAAAATAAATGAAATCTCTGGTATTGGAGTATTCGTTTGCCTCTGAGGACTCCTGATTTCTCTGACTTTATTCCACTGCTCAGTGCATACTGGGGTAGCATCTTGCTTCTCCAACCCAGGAGCATCTGGCCAGGTTCCACCTCGTTCTTGTCACAGGCACTCAGGAACAAATGATAAGGATCTCTGTAGACACTTGATTTCCCTCCCCCTCATGCTCTAGCAATGTGTATATTGCTCCTGATTACTCCCAGTCCCTCTTGGTCAACAGCAAAAACAAGGCTGGCTACTTGAATTTGAGACTCTTGGTGGAGTAAAGAACTAGGTTGTGATTCCTGTATATACAGTTTTTGTGTACATTGTATGAAATGCTCTTTCAATAAATCAGAAATATTCAATGTAGTCACATAATTTCTGAGTTTATTCTCTTTATACTGAAACAGAAATGCAAGACTGTTAATTTGTTTGCTCTAGTAACGTACAGTTTAATGTAATAAATGTGAGTCCCCTTTAATTAACAGAATTAGTACTTTCAAGAAGATCAGTTTAGGCTCATACAGTTTCAAAAGGGATAATATTTTTGAGGTAGGATTATTAAAGCAGATGGCATCTGTGGAGGGGCAAAAGGTCTGAAGATCAGCTTTGCTTCAGACAAGCACCTAATTGTTCAGATGCATTTCTGAAGTTGAACACAGTAATTGTGTACTATGTGAAAAGCTTGTGAGACCATGTGCTTTTACTAGGATTAACACTTTGTAGATAACATTTTTTTAAGCAGTCAGAAGGGCAGGTGTGCATGAAACATGTAACTTTTAATTCCAGAGCCTTCAGAGCAATTTGACTTCAGAGGGAGCATCCAGGGCTGAACAGAGATGTAATAGTGTCTTTTTTTTAAAAATTATGCTAACTGGCTCTCATGTCCTTAGCAGGGATGTCATGTTTAGGAAAACTGTGATTCCCTCAGGACTGATTTCTCATTTACTACTTCAGAAAACTACGTATCTAAAGGGAGCTTCTAAAAACACCTTCAACTCTCTTCTTCCTTATAGTCTCGTTTGTTTTGGTATTGTGAATCCTACAGCTCCCGAATATATCCTGTGAGGTTCCTGAAGTACATGCTCTTGCTGCAGCTGAGATATGAAGGAAGGGATACTTGTTTAGGAACTACTACTGCCCCTTGCTTAGATGTTCCAGCCATTTCAATGCAGGCTTTACATCTAGATTTTCTTGTTTATCTGTATTGTTTTTACATCCAGATTTTCTTGTTTATCTGGCATTGTTTAAGGCCAGCCTGTCAAAATAGGTTAAATATACTTTGGAAAACATGGTCACATGTCTAAGACACCACAAATATGTTTAATACAAAAAGATTGTCTTGATTAAAGAAACATGATAAACTTGCATCCTCCAAAATACTTTTCCGTTGTTCATTTAGATTTCTAAGAGCATCAGTACACAACGACAATATATTATATTACATTATATTATATGATGTTGTATTTATTATTTATAGCCTCATGGCAATAAATTCCTGGAAAAGGCACACAGAGACACCAGCAAAACAGTGAAAATGATTGCTGATGATTTGTTCTAACTACTTGACCTTGTGACATCTCCCCCAGATATACGACCAAGATGGGACACTACAGCACTTTATTGACGGTGGAGAACCCAGTAAGTCAAGCTGGATGAGGTATATCCGATGTGCAAGGCACTGTGGGGAACAGAACTTAACAGTGGTTCAGTACAGGTAAAGTATGCTTTGATTTACTCAATGCAACAAAACGAAAACATTTTTAGCTCAAAGTCAGGCTGTAACTGTCACTGGTACTATTGTCTTCGATGGCAAAGACAGCAGCATGGCTTTTGTGAACGTTCTCATTCCGGGCAAAAGCTGCAGAGTGTGGTGAGGATGGTTAACTTTGGTTAGCCAGAGGCCGTTGTGGTAACCATGCTAGACCTGGAGCTCCTGGGAACAAGGACAGCCCTGCGTCACGTGACCACCACGCTGCACAGAGTCCTCTGCACGTTTTCAAACGGTCTGATCAGGAGCAAGCCGACACAAGCAGTCTCTCACCCTTAATAAAGATAAGTGTGCCAGAGGAGGGGGGGAAATGGCAGGAGAGGAGTTTTGAACCCAAAGGCTTTCTGAGAGTCAGTCAAGAGACACGTACACATCTAAAGCTTATATGCTGAGTGCACCTGCTAGCCAGGATTGCTAGTGGCTGTGCCTCTTATGTTGCTGGCTAGAGAAGGTCAAAATGTGAAGCAAAATGTAAAGAAATTATGGTGCATTTTACTTTGTACTCACAAACAGATCTAGAAAACCCAGACGACTCATTACATAAATACATGATCTCAGCTATAAACAAACCTTTTGCCTCAGAATCAGAAGCAACTGTTTGGACTTATTAAATGTGGTAGGAAGCACATCAAAGAATGCCCCGGGCTTGCCAGTCACAGTGAGCAATCCTCATTTTGGCTAGTTGCTTTAGAGCGTGGAGTTTTTTCTTTGAGAATAATCTTAAACTTATTTAAAGTACCTTTAAAATTAAAAATAAAACATAAAAAAGCAAGCTAAAATGAAATATATATATATAAAGTTTGGTCATCCCATAGGGTTCCAATTTAACAATGGTAAAACTGTTCAATTGCATTTTCAGCTTTTTTATTCTCTGGCCAGTTGACTAAATAATGCTTCAGTTAAAAAAATAACTATCCTATTTATACATTACAAATCTTTTATTGTACCTTTAAATATGTGGTATCTATAGCTAAAATTCTATCAAATTTTAAATAAACACACTGGATAATGAATAAAGATTGCTGTGATGAAAGAGTATTTTTGTAGGTATCTTGTGAACTATTTATCAGTGTGGTGGTGTGTGCGTTCACGTATATATGTATAAATAAGAAAAAGAAATATATATGCGTACATATATATAGATGACAAACCTAAATGAAAAGTGGGCATGAGAAAGTCATTACACATCTGTCAATATTAAGTGGATTTTACAACTCTTCTTTCATGATGGAGTTTTTACTTAGAGTTCCCTCTGTTGATCTGTTTTCGATTACTTCAGATCTTTATAAAACGAACTACAAAAACACAATTTAAAAAACTGGCATCCATCACCAGTGACTGCATCCAAGTGTAAGAAAATAGAAAAGTTGGACACTGAAAAACCGGCCTAATTTTTATTGTACATGGACGTCCTCCTCACAGAAAGTCAGCTGGTTTAAATTCATTCTGTTATGATTTGTAATATCTAAATGGAATTTTCTTCAAAGTGCTCTTGATTGATTGACCCTTAGCTGAACGTTTTGTTTTTATTTTGAGGCTGACAATAATGTTTGTTGGCATGTGTTCTGCTTCAACTGCGTTGGGACGCCATGAAGCTATCTTTATGAGTCATCCAACCACAATACTAAATACATGTCAGCAAAGGAAATATTATCCGAAAAGGGAAAAATCCCTTTGATGTACTTCAGCATGCAGAGATTTCTGCGAGTTTTGGAAGCTCTGCACGCTTGTAAGGGACGGTGTATGCTTACACTTTTTTTTCCCTGCCTACTCCAAGCCTCACAGACCACCCATTGCTCAAAAACAGTTCTGCTCTTTCAGCGGCAAAGTGTGTCATTTGGTTTTAGCACATTCATTTGCCGGCTGCTGTGTTTATGTTAAGGGAAGCCAAACTGAGAGATGAAATGTTACAAGGGTGAAGTACAAAGTAGACTCAATTTTTCTCAAGTTAGGAGATGCTGGTAATTTATAGCGTGGCTCAGATTTTCATTTTAATGTAACAGTGGAAAGAATTAATGAAATGCATGGCTCAGGGAAGAAAGAGAGGGAGAAGAAGAGAGAAGGAGGAGGACAGGGAAAGACACAAAGGGGAGAGTTTTTGTCAGATATTCATAGAAGGGTAGGAAAACCTTTCTGCTTAGCTAGCAGTGCCCTCCTGAGACAGGGTGGCAGTAAGCGAGGAAAATAACAAGATAAATGAAATTTTTGCAGCTGCTAGTAAAATATTGAGAATCTGCACTTTTCTATTGATCTTTATGATCCTGTTGCCAAGAGCCACTTTGAGGTGACAAAATATGTTGACAAGTGCATATCTCACCGCCATGAAAAATGTGGTAAAGGATTCTCCTTATGTCTGCAGTGTTATACAAGGAACAAATTGCATTGCTACAGCCAATTCTTTAGAGAAAGTCTAAATTTAAGGCCTACCAACCCTAAACACTTTTATCTTGAACTTCAGGCTAACGTTTGTAGCAATTCTTCACTCAGAAAACAGGTTGAGCTCTAACATTTTTTCTTTTGGTCTACAGATGTTTTTCTGCCTTACATAAGCTGGTATAAAAAATGGTCATTTCTTGGTAGTTTGACTGTATCATTTTGGTATGTAATCCTTCAGCGAGAGTGAAGTGTTCTTCTTGTATATAGTGAATTTCTATCCATCTCACAGGAGTGTGTTTTTCAGTTCCACATGAAACCCAAGGGAAAAGCCATTACAAACTGATAACATTTTTATTTTATCTTGTGCTTGATTATAATCTTACACAGTGTTTGCCCCTATGTAAATCTGTTAACTGTAGAAGTAGCACTCTGAAGCTATTTACATCAGTACAAGATCAGGATAAGGCTCTTGGGTTTATGGTAGAGACTCTAGGATTTTTCCTTTTTTTGCCCTCAACTCCTAGTTCAGTGGTCTAGGAATATCCACAGTCTCTTCCCACAGAAAGATGTGATAAAACGTCGTGTTTATGGTAACACTAATTTATACTTACTTAAGGATCATTGACATTACCCTCATGTTCCATCATTACACAGGAGGATTTTTGTAGTTGTGTGTTCAGATTAACCCCATTTTTTTACTTCCCTGTCTATTTTACTCAACAATCCAAGATGTCTCTTTTTGGTGGTATATTGCTGTGATGAAAGGCCACGTCATGCTACTTCAAACCTCTTGCTAAAAGCACCTATTCATGCGAAAGAATTTTGTCTATTTATGCTTAAAATACGTTAAATTCAGCTTAGATGACAAACACAAAGATGTTTAAATGGCTGAACTTACTGGACTGTGTGCACCACTTGTGTTAGCAAAATGCAGCACTTCTAAAATCACTTTAAAAGGGCCATGGCAAGAAAATATCAGTCTTATCAAAATATCCTGGTGCTTGTAAAATCTTAGTGTTTAAAATATGCTGGGTACAAAGTGCCTGCAAGTTCTTTGTCACCCTGTGCTACAGTAATGAAGTCCTTCCCTGATAACAGATCTGATTTTAAAATAGCCTGTAAATTATTAATTTATTTATCTGCAGAAATACTTTCAAAACAATGGCTATCTACTGTAAAATTGTGTATGACAAGAGGAGAATGCTCTATTCCTAAATTTGTCATTTTTTTCTTTTTCTCTTGATCAGGTCAAATATATTCTACCGGGCTTGTATAGATATTCCCAGGGGCACTGAGTTGTTAGTGTGGTACAATGACAGCTACACATCTTTCTTTGGAATCCCTCTCCAGTGCATTGCACAAGACGAAAATTGTAAGTTGTTCTTTGCATTTGTACCCGTGTAAGCCAGAATTCCTGTTTCATACCTAATCGGCTATATTCCTAGAGTATTGTAAAACATATGAAATGAAGGTAAGCTTGACGTGTACAAAATAAAACCCTGAAGCTGATACACTTAAGCTGTGCAAAATCATGGTATTCTTACCTAAACAGAGGTGTTTGGAAATATGCAGGTATGTGCGATTAAATAGCACATTTCCCATCGTGGCAGCCCTACATAGCTTGGTAGTGTGTAAAATCACTCTTCCTTGTAAATGTTTCATTCCTAGTCTATTCTTAACAGATTTGCTTGGCCCTCTCTATTGTTATCAGACCTACCACCAGGGACTGTCCTGCCAAAACAATAATGCCTTGCAGGTCCACAAGACCTCTGTTACTGATTCTTCATTCTATTCCCATTGAGTATGTGAAGTAAAGCTTTGTCTGGCTCATTGTAGAGATGAGATCCTTGTGGTTAAAATAAAAAAGCCAGCTTCTCTAAATACAGACTCAGTGTAAGTAGCCTGAAATAATAATGAACTTCCATTTCATTCTGGCCATCCTCATTTCCATCCATTCTTCTAGCCCTTTTCCATATTTGATTTTTAGTTTCATAGGAATCGTCACAAAACTAAGCAAGGTACCTATAACACAGACCGAGTGCAACCTAGTGGTGGATACCTCTGTCTGTAATGGGAATGTGTGATCCAAGCAAGCCCTTCAGTTTCACTATGTGTGGAACTTACTAGAGCTTGCATCAAAGACTTCTTTTCCGTTTTGACAGTTATGTGTGTCTATGTGGTGGAAAAAAATGATAATGGATGCCTGACTGACTTCGGTCTAAAGCAACCCCGTGGCTGGCCATACTTAATCAATTACATATAGGATTTTTTTTTCGGTCAAGTACTTGGATGCTTCAACAGCGATGCTAGGATGAACTCGTGTCTCATGGCAACTTAAATACTGAACCATGTAGCAATAAAACAGCAAGATAGCAGGCATTAAAATGTCAAAAATAAACATTCTTTTTAATCTTGAGTTTTAAAATCTGTTGGGCTTGAGAAAAGTTTAAATGAAATTTAATTACTGGCAGTAATGTTTGCTGATAAAACTCATGCTCTGCAGTGTACAATATAGAAATATTATTTTTTCTTTCATGAGCTAAAGCTTACAAAACCTTTATTTGGAAAACAAAGCATTATGGTTAAAATCTCTAAATATTGTCACTTGTTATTTTGCTGTGAGAGAAACCAGAGCTTCATCAACAGAGAGACTGACATGAGTAGATGAAATCCGTCTCTGAGCATGGAGCCAGCTGCAGGCTGGTATAAGACCTAAGTGCCACTTAGGCCCTCAGAGTAGACTTTCTGCTTACCTTCCGCACAAGAGTATTTTTACCGAGTACAAACTCTTCCTCTGTTCCTCATGTCTTTAATATCCTGATCTTGTTGCTTCTGTGGACTTTTATGAATATAATTAAGAAAACTCCCAGTGAACTCTTTCTTGTGTGAGAAAGTTGGCGCAAAATGAAAGTATACGAATTGCCCCTTCTGCTGAAAAGAGACATAGAAGACGTATTTTATGTCTGGAAACTTGTGATAGACAGCCCCATGGGTGTAACTCTACTTAGAGATCAGGTCCTCAGATACTCCAGAAAAGAATAGCCTAGGAAGGACCTCAGCTTAAGTAAAATGAATGGCATATAAGGTTATAATAGTTATTACTATTGATGGAAGATATTAGAACAAAACTCTCTGAAGTAACTGGCATTATTTAAGGTATTACTAAAACATTAGTTAGTATTACATTTTTATTGTATATCAAATAATGTTGGATGATTCCAGCTGACTAATGAAATTTAATTCTCATTATTGCTTTTAGAAATCTATCATCATGACTTGCCTAAACAGAGTTGGTTTCTAATCATCTATTTAGTAGGTGCTATGTGCCTATATGTGAATATATATATATATACACTTTCTCAGTAACAAAATGTGTGAACATATGTAGACATAGACATATGCATACAATATATTTAATTAAAAAATCTCAATTAAAATGTTATCTATCTCATGTGGTTGAGTGTGCCAAAATTAGAAATCATGAGAAGGTACTGGGCCCAGGTGTCCTAAATCATGCTTCTTTTTGCATTGTGGTTCAACCTTTCATTAGCTGACCGTATTTTTCCATAGGACCCTTGCTTCATTCACTGCATCATCTAGATGGTACTCAAGGAGTGAGGCAGCTGTTCAACTTTCTGCAATGTGTTGGACCTCCTCCCTTCCTTGTCATGCAACATCCAAATTCAACACTAAATCACTTCTTTCTGAGAACAGCATATTGCATTTGTTGCTGAAATATCTGAGTGCCCCAAAAGCCATAGTTAATTGGTGCTCATAAGACCTTAATGGGACTAGAAACATTTTTTCTTCCTGTTTTTGTAGGTGGGAAATTGATGCACAAAGATATCTCTGCTTATACTTTACTTTGTCTCATGGTGATCTAACTGCTATTTGCCTAAATCATAGAAGTAATGGTGAAGTCACTGGCTTTATATAGTATTGGCTGTGTGACTATTTGTGACATGTAATATATAATATTCTTAGTGGCTGCCCTTTAAGAGGATAAGGGAACTATTGCTGCAGTAGATATTTAAGCCTTATTGTATCTCTAGGAGTGTCTGAGCAAGGATTTTTTTTTCCCATGTTCTCAAAATTCATGCTTGTCTGTGATATAGCAATTGGACATGCTGACTGCAACATGCAGAGCCAGGATATCACAAGCACAGCAGCAATGTCTTTCAGGTGACAAACCCATTGTGCAATAAATGTATATCGCAGTCAGGCTTCTCTGAGTCCTTCCAGTCTCAGACACCCCTTTGCATGAGTTTTCATTTCAATGTCACAGAATCAGCATCACCCATTCAGATCACTGTCTCATTCAAACCCATTTTTGTGCATTGTTAAAATAAAGTTGTTTAGTGTCAAGAAAATGGATGTTGGTATTTTTTTGGTGTCTCCCAACACTGTGTTAGTTTTAAAAAGGTGTAAAAAGGATCTTATTTACTTTTCTTGTTTTCTCCCAGTGAATGTCCCTTCGACTGTAATGGAGGCCATGTCCAGACAAGACACCCTACAGCCATTTAATAAAAGTAGCAAACTGTCCCCTGCCACTCCACAACGATCCATAGTATTTCCACAGACTCCGTGTAGCAGAAATTTTTCTCTCCTGGATAAGTCTGGGTCCATCGAGTCAGGATTTAACCAGATCAGTGTCAAAAACCAACGCGTTCTTGCAAGCCCAACTTCAACAAGCCAACTAAATTCTGAGTTCAGTGACTGGCATCTTTGGAAATGTGGGCAATGCTTTAAGACTTTCACCCAGCGGATCCTCTTACAGATGCATGTGTGTACGCAGAACCCTGACAGGTAAAGCCCAGGCTCTCTTTATTTCTGTATCTACTGACAGCCAGATCCACTGCTTTCTTCTTTTATCAAGCCATTATCGTTTCCCAAGCCAAACCATTATTAGGAGGAGTCTGTATGACGCAATTCATCTGCTGCTGTGTGAAGTAAGCTGATAAAAACCATTGCTTAACTTCACTATTTGTAAAAACATTTGGTCCCTAAATGTGCACATAAAAGGAAATAGCACAGGATATAATCTTGTTTTCAGAATTGTTTGGTACATCTGATGGAGGCAACAAAATAGAAGGAAAATTTATGAATATCATAGATGGAAAAATGAGGTCAAGATAATTAAAAGTCTCTCTGTCTTCCAAAGATAATCTAACTTGCTGCTCAGTGGCTGTCACAGTCATTTCAGGGTTCACCTATAGTGTGCAATGTGTATGAACTTAATTAAGTACTAAGAGGTAATGAATTGGAATTTTTTGCTTAGTACTATTTTTCTTCAGAGCATGCAAACCCATAAATCGTGCAAAGCTGTCAAAAGGAAATACCTACTCCACTAGTGATGTGGAGGAAAACAGATGCCACTTATTCAATAAACTAATATCCACACAGAAGAAAAATGTTGACTAGATACCTCAGAGTCAAAGTTGGTTTGAAAGTTTGTCAATACAGAATTTTATGGCCGTGAACTGCGGATGAAATTTAGCTGAACAAGTGAATTAAAATTTCAGGTACTCTGACCAGTGGCACAGTAAATATAATGGAACCATTATTTATGAATCAAAGCTGGTTTATTTGACAATTTTGATAGCTGACAGGACAAAAGACGAAAATCAAATTAATTCAATAAAAAAGGCTGCCCACATTTTGTCTCTTCTTCAGCTGTGAAGAAGGTTTGAGCAAAACAGCTGAATCCCTGGAAGGTTGTTCTAAACGCAGAATTTAATTGTGAATCACATTTAACTAAAACACTACCAAAAAATAGCCAACAGGGAGTCTGTGCGTGTGTTTGTATGCATGTCTATGTCTCTTTGTGTACGTGGGTACCTACGTGTACACATAAGCTTGTGTGATTCTGTGGGTGTGGAGATAGTGGAGCATAAACCCAGTTTTCCAGGAAGAAATGTCAAGCATGCTAGGGGCAAAGTAGATTCCATGAAAATCTTCATAGAATTTAAAGAGTTGATAATCTTGCGAATGCAAACAAGCCCTTTCAACATTTTCTGAATTTTACGCTGGCCTTAGCAGAAATAAATGCCATGCTAAGGAAGCTGTAGGACACAAATGCCAAATTAAATGCTGTGGTGTAGAACAGAAGTCCTGAAAGGTCCACTCTACTAAGATTCTTGGACCTTTCTGTTTCCAGTATCAAAGTATCCTCAGCATACTGTAAAGCATAAAATGCTCTGTCAGGAAGTTTAAAAGAGATAGGTTGTGAAGCTCCCCCACATACTTTTTCAGTGATTCATCCAACCAAGGGTGACACCTAGATATCATCCTTTCCTTGACTTGAACCTGTGTCTTCCTTTCTGAAGAACCAAACTGCAGGTAACAGCTAATGCAAGAAGAGCGTCTCCTAATGGGGCTGTTCTGCACTCTAAGGGATAGTTAAATATTCACTTTGCCAGATGAGAAAATGAGAAGAGTTACTATTAGGTCTGTCATTTTGGAGGTTCGAGGTTTAATTTCTGAATTTTTATTTTCTCCTAAGTATCTTGTTTTAAATATTACCTGAAACACAAGCTGGATTTTAGTTCTTCACCCTTAGAGGTGAACACCCTCATTAGAAGGTTACTTATTCGTGACTTCTTACTGTTTTGTCTCTTCTGTGCCTACCTAATTTGTCCATGCAGAACAGCTTAAACAAGAAAGAGTAGAGCATTTTTAGCTCAGAAAAAAAGCTACAGCACAGTAGGAAAATTATCTAGATCAGAAGACAAGCTGTGTCCCCCAGGAGCAAAGAGAGCAAAAGATGATTAGAGAAAGGACTCAGCAGATTTGGGGAGGATAGAGGTGGACAGGAGGTAAGTAAAGACTCTGAGTTGTAAGTGTTGAATCCCAGAAGCTTTCAGGAAGATTCAAAACATTATAGCTAACACTTTTTTCTTGATGTTGATACTTCGTAATTTAGTTGATTCCCTCTTTGGCTTGTTGGGTTTTGTGAATCCTGTTCTCAAGAAACTTTCCCTTGTGTCATAGAGAGCATAAAACCTACATTAGATCGCAAGATACACTTAGGATCAATCTGTTGCATAAATACCAGATACTGCAGTGGTCTGTTCTGTGGCTCTTCTTTTCCCTGTGTACTGAAAAATGGCTTACATCTCTACGTTTTCACTAAACAGGTTGTGCAGGCTGCTTGTGGAGGCCGGTTTTGTAACGCCTTCTTTGTCCCTGTGAGGTGTGCCATCAACATAACTGCTGTAAAACCATTTCCCAGTAGGTCTACTTTGGAGAGTTACATGGGACGTCAGTCACATGAAGATGTTTAAGCTCACTGCAGTTCATCTGGTGTTTGAAGTTACTGGAATAATAGTTATTGCAAATCATAACTGCCCTAGGATATGGATTCTCATATCCCCATTTAGAAATCTTTACAGGTTGAGCTTACATCACAGACAGCCTTTTGTCTTTTAGCAGGTACCAGTAGATTAGCTATTTCATGATACAGTGGTTGGGAAAGA